GACCGGCTTCCGACCGTGGCTATTACCAGGGCCGACTAGGGCTCAACACGAGAGAGATACAACATCTCAGCAGAAAGACTGTGAGACAAGGCTAGATAAAATTTCTGCCCACTCAGGAAGCGAACTTGGGTCTTCTACGGGCGTCTGTGAAGCACCTAACAGCCACACCACAGACGCTGGTGGTTGGTGTTTCGCGGGTTTAGTAGAACAGTAATCGAAAAAAAAAACCCAACGAAAAAAAGGAAAGACAAAAAACAAAAAAAACAAACAAAAAAGCAATTTCCAAAACAAAAAAAGGTGAGCAAAAGGTAGATCTAGATTTAGAATCCGGGACAGTCATGTGTGGTATCAACAAATGTTTTAGAAAAGGGGCTGGACAACTTTGAGAATACTTAAGTTCGAGATGATTAAATGGAGGGCCTTTTGACTCGAAAATTACTTAATGAAATGTCAAGAAAGTCTCGCCAGGGATGGGATTCGAACCAGGGTCGACAGCTTCGCGGTCCATCATGATACGAACTGAGCTAACTGGAAACATATTTATAGTGATATTCCAATCCCAGTTACACAAAATCATATCCTTTTTCGATGTCATAATACTTCAAAGCAAAAATAAGATCCAGCCAGGTTGAAGAAAGAAAATACACATTTTCATTTCCAGATTTATTGCATGCATTCAACAGTTCAAAAACTTTTTCGATAAAATCAATCCATTATGTGTGTTAACCACAACAGAATAAATAGTTATGGAAACCCAACGTATGGTAGGCCTACTTGAGATAACGTCTCTGGACGTCTCACGTCAAAAATGTCTGTCATAAATGTCAAATGTCTGCAACAAATGTCTGTTACAAATGTCTGCCACAAATGTCTGTTCTAACTTTCAAATGTCTGCCACAAAAGTCTATCACAAATGTTAAATATCTACCACAATGAATGAATATCACAATTCTTTGCCTGTCACAAATGTTTGTCTGCTACAAAAGTTTGCCTGCAACAATACACTGTAACAAAAAATTTAATGGCTGTCTTTCACAAATGTCTGTCTGACATAAACATCATCCAAAAATTTTGCCTACCACTACTTTAATGTCTGCTGCCCCAAATGTCTGTCAAAAATGTCTGTCAAACTTGTCTGCAGTCACAAATGTGTGCCAGAAAAAAAAATTGATATCTCTCACAAATGTCTGTCACAGGTGTCTGTCACAAGTGTCTGCCACAAATGTCTGTGACTAATGTTTATTACAAATGTCTGCCACATACGTCTGCCACAAATGTCTACTATTAATGTCTGCCACAACTGTGGGTCATAAATGTGTGTCGGTCGCAAATGTCTGCTGCTAACAAATGTCTACCTGCTAACAAGTGTCTGCCTGTCAAAAATGTCTGCCCCACAGCGTGTTTTCATCCAATAAAGCACTTCATTCACTGTATGATTAACCATAATCACAGGGGGATTAACCACAATTAGGTGCTGGCGTAGATGAAGAGGAGAGAACTTGCAGCACCGGTGCCGCCCACCAACTGCTGGGGTGTCTTCCCTTTGACGTAGTTAGCGGCCCTTGTCTTGTGGGAACTGTCCATCGGAGACATAGCCATGTAGCAGAACGCTTGCCAGCCCTGGAGAGATGGGGGTGGGGGT